CGCATATATGAAGAAATACGGTCATATATAAGTCAATTCTTAAAAATAAAAGGAAATCATGACTAATCTGAAACAAAACTGTAAAGTTTGCCTTAAATCTGTCGATCTTGGACGTAAATCAGAATGGAAGTATAAACTATACTACGAAACGCAATTGAAGTTTTGTAAAGTTTTGACGAACGCGCGTACATTTGTCGTATGCGCAAGACATACTCGACTATTATAATTCGAAGCGAGTCTCCTTGAAGTATTTCATGTGTCGATAGAGATCAAAGACCGGCATCATTAAAATAAATGCTAATAAGCCAATGAATAAAATAAAAGCTTATTTCCAATCGATCTCCCACAAAGTGCAACATGAGATAGAAATGAGAAAGAGAAACGCCGCCAACGGTGAACAGTACTAAACAAAAAAAAAAAAAAAAAAAAAAAAAAAAAAAAAAAACACCCCAGAAGAGGCTGATGGCTTCGTTCCCCATTTATTTTCGTAGGGCAAATTTTTTGTAATCATACCTATATATATATATATTTATAAAGACAGAGAGGGTGTGAGTAAGATGAAAAGAGGTTGGTGGGGGGGGGGGCACACACACACACACAGATGTAGGAACAAGAATTCGAAATCGGGTGCATCGACCGACTCACCAAGTCGCGTATTTGCTTTTTCACTCAGATTGCCGAAATGGGACGTTGACTCGACGTGAAGCGCGATTGGTCATCGGTAGGTATATAGGAAAGTTGAGGACTTGATTCGCGGTCGTTCGCTCGTATGTACTTTCCTCCGTATATGCTTAGGCTTTCTCGTAAGATGTTGGTGTGGTCTTGTAACTTTTAACACACTTGCCACATCAAAATGAAATCGAAGTGATGTGAAAAGCGCGCTGGAAAAGTCTGTAGAGCCATCGATGTCTTTATGAATATGAGAGCTGATTCGGACAGTCGGTAATTTCATTTCTTTCTCTGACGTATATTACCTAAGTCGATCGTAACTTTACACAGTCGGACATATTAGAAATCTATGACATGACGATTAAATCCTTTAATATATATAATTTTAATGGCTGTAAGTGTTTATATAATGGCCCCTTCTAGATGCTAATACGAATCAAAATTCTTTTATTGTTAGATTTAATGTAAACAGCGCAAGATAATATAATGCCATATCTTGTGCCATAGGATAATTTATCATTTATAAAATCAATTTACTATCGTTCTAGCAATTTTGAGATAAGTCAAGAAGGTGTAGGTAAAGTTTAATTTTAACGAAATGCTTTTTATAATGAAGATTATAATATACGAACGAATTATATTTTTGTAATACAAGCTATTGCTTTTTTAATTCAGGTGAACACAAGTCTTAACTTTTGATAGAAAATTTCTTCGACAAATGATAATTATATTCAATTATAAAAATAGCCATTGTGTTTTATTACAATATTTTTAACAAAATTAATATTATACTTCAAATAATATTTCATTAAGCTCATAAAAATCGATCTGAAATGAAAAGAATGTATAATATAATGGATTAAAATGTGGCTATAACTGAGAGAACTTTCTCTTTCAAATTAGTTTTACGTACATTTTTCTCTCATGACAAGTTTAATAGCTTTACGAAACGAAAAATTTTTCTGGAATTATTGAATAAGATGGGAAAAGCATGTAAGGTTAAAATTAACCATAAAGCTTCTAATCAATATATAAAAATTTTATAAGCAATATTACGAGTTCAACTGAAGAGATTGACGAGGTATAATAGTCAGAGAAAGTCAGAGAAAGCAAGGTTTCAAAATGTAAAAAAATGTAAGTATTTGTTGAAAACTGCTTTTATTTCAATTGATGTACCTGATCGGATTCTGTAATATGTACAGCGATAGATACGTACGTGAAATTATTTATTTATAATCGACTATATGTAATGTAAATGATGAGATTGAGAAAAAAGTTGAGAAATTGAGGTGAATTTAAAAGAAAAACATAATCCGTATGAGAAAAAAAATTTATTAAATAACAAAGTCATTGATTTTAAGTAGCGTACGAGACGTGTAATTTATTGAGTTTTTCAGGTCAAAGACTCGTTTCATCCCTTCTTTTTTTTTTCTTTTTTTTTTCCAAATTATAGGTCTCTGCAAGTTTTTCTCTTCGTTTTTTACTTGATCTGAAAATGTGAGTACATTCGCTCGCCATTCATACATACATTTAATTAAATTATCATTGCAAACAAAATCTTATGCATACGAGGAGAAATCTTAGATTAACTACCTTAGTGATGCTTAAGTATCAGATGTACTATTTTTCAATGTGAAACTTAATGGAAATTCCTCTAACACCGAATAAGAAATCAGTAATACTTGGAAAAAAAAAATCTATGTTCTTACGTATGGTGTAATGTGTATTTTATAGAAAATCATGTGAAAACGTAAGATTATTTTCATTAAATGAATAAATATTATTGATCGATGAATGGACGATCTTATGAATTTCACGATATGAATATGTTTTTTCATTTGTATTTACAATAACGCCTTGCACTTCATTACAAAATTAATTATAACTATAAAATCAATTATCAATTATATCTATAAAATGAAACGGCTACGCATATAATGATAATTTGATTTAATCATATAATAAACATTTCTTCAGAATTTATGAAAAGTATTTTAAGTAAATATTGAGACGAGGTATATTAATTTATAACTTTCTCGCATAATTTAATGGGAACGTGATCGAAACGCGCAAACTGTATGTACAAAGTATACGTATTAAAATATTGTTAAATAAGAAGCATTTAAATTTGCATTAGCTGTTTCCTGCCATTTTTATTGTAATATCAAAGGTCGAATGTACATAATAAAAGATTACGTTACAACAGAAATTAGCGCCAAAAAGTTATGGCGAATATCGATTAAGATCATAACTTATAAATATAAAGCATACAAGGTAAGGTGGATAAACGTTTAAGGTATACCTTAAGTTACATTGAGAGCCTATATTTTCGAGCTATTTCGGCTTGAAAGCTTATATAAGCTGTAATAATTTATGGAACATTTATGAAAATGTTATTATCAAACATTATTGGCGTATGTAGGATAAAGTATGGGCTGCTGTGGATACAGGTATTATTGAATAAATATTAACGAAAACCTTAAGAGATAAAATGATCGTGCATTTTCGTTTTCATTACAATAAGATTAAGTGTCTGACACATTGCATATATAATACGAGCATTGATCGCTTATCGTTGCTGAAAAATCTTGTCGAATATCCTTACAAAGGATATCCAAGGAATCTCAACTTACCGCCTTCATCATCTTGGTATGTAGATATTAACCCAAGGCATTGTTTGCATTCTTAACGAAACCCCATAAAAATAAATAGAAAAACCGTCGACTGTGAAATTACTCAGCCCCTAATGGGGTTGACGAATAAATATCGGCCATCCTCCTCCCCCTAAGGCATACAACCTGTTATAACGCTCATCACTTCTCACATTCCCATGTTAAAGCAGATGGCGTTTAATGAGCGAGAGCTTGCGAAAAGTTCGACCGCGTTGTGTCTCTATCGGTATTTGGGCTACGGTAATAAATTCGCGCACGGCGAGCTGCGGTCTTGCCGCCGCTTTCACTGCGGTTCGCTTACGAGACGTTCGGTCAGAGGAGAGGCGAACGAACGAAGGGGGGGGGGAGGGAAAAAAGCAAAATCGAAGGAGGAAGAGGAAGGAATTCGAACACGTAACGCACGCGCGGCGAGTGGGAGCTTGATAAAAAGAGGTGCGCGGAATTGGCGGTTTTCTTTTTAGTGAGCATATCCCAGGATTTCATCCTGTAATTTGTTCGTTTCTTCCTTTCCTCCTTCCTTACAATTTTTTGTTGTTACCGTCGTCGTCATCGTCGTCGTCGTTGTTGTTGTTGTTGGTTTTTTTTTAATTTTATTTTATACACGCCAATGCCCACTAATGGCGAGAGCACGATACACAGTCGCTTTGACCGCCTCGAGTCTTGTGACATTAAAGGAAGGAAAAGTATTGAACGTTATAATGAGTTACGAAATCACTTTAAAAGTCTGGTGGTTCATAAGTCTGGGACATTTTTTTCCATTTAATAAACTTCGTGAGTAGTTCCTTTTTTATGGAAGTTCGACCGCCTCTACATTCGTCTGTATCCCCGATCGAGTTGTCCAAGTTGACATTTGAATCGAATGAGATCCTTTATAAGGGGCATGTTCAGCTTATTCAGTTGTGAGTTAGCCAGTGGGAAGCTGTCGTTTACCTATTTTACAAATAATTCACGAATCGGAAATCCATTAGCGCGGACGAAAGTTGTAGTTCGCTTAAAAACTTGATTTTTCTTGAAATAAAGAGCCCACCACTACCTGTCCATAATGTGAAGTTCAATTTATACGAAATCGCATGACTCGCGACAATTAAAATTAATTTAAATGAAAGAGAGAGGAAAAAAAAATTACAAAAGAAAAAAACGAAAAAGAATTAATGAAATGAAAAAGAGTCAAAAGTAAAGAAGGCTGGAAGATAAATTTAAGAGAAAAATTCGAGAGAAAGTTACGGAATAATGCCGAGGAGGAATTTTCCTAATCGACTTAATTCATCGGTAGCCTGAAGATAATGAAAAAATGGAGCTTTTCAGCTTGACTCTCTCAAAGTACATAGATCCGTGCGGCCCTAAGCAATAAACTATTTCTCGGACGTCCGCCAGCACAACGTGCGTACGATGCAGAATAGCCAATCCAATTGGAGGATTTCGCATAAAGCATTGCGAGGCTCCTAATTGATTGCGAATAATGGCGGGAACGTAACGGGGGAGCCGAGCAAACAAAAAGGAAAAACATTAAGAAAAGGGAGAGAAACGTTTGTTCAGCCCGGGGGCGCACTGTAGGCAGACTGCGCGCTCAAACACACGGACGCACGCACGCGCGCACGCACACACACCCAACGGTCATTATGAAAATTGTAACGGTTGATGCGTCCCCTGATTGCTCACCTGCAGCGTGACCTTGAAAGGCTCTTGCAGTCGTTCGCGCTCCAGGAGGTAATCTATGGCACCGGGCATCGCGTCCACCCCCTTGGCCTCTCTCGCCCCCAAATACCACACGTAGTACGAGCTCTTTTTGACATCTTTGCCGTTTCTCCCGCGCAGGGCCATCACTTGCTGAAACAGAAATGCATACATTATTATTCAAATGCGCATTCATAGATGAAATATATATATATATATATATATATATATATATGTATCGTTTATTTTCAACTAATCTACTTTACGGCTCACTTTTAATTGATTTCCAACTAATGGCCTGCGATTGGGTCGAGCCATTAGAAAAACTATCGAGTTCGCTTAAATTCAATTATTATTTTTCAACTTTTCAATTCGTGAAAAATATATGGGATAATATTTGAATGCTCGTGAATATTTTCGTAAGCAATAAATTCGATAAAATAAAAAACGGTACGAGTACCGTAGTCGTTTAATTTTCTTATAAACAATAGTCGATATTTTTCGTGCTCTTTAACAATGGTTCACGAATTATTCGTTCCTCTCGAATCTTAAATCAATGGCATTTCTTCTTTTCGTGTGCGTTCAATGATTCGACAAATTTACAATTAATCTGAAAAATGAAAGGGAGGAGAGAAAAGCCTCGCGCATCCATTTGACGATAGAACCGAAAAAATTATTATAAAATTAATGTCAACGTGATTTAAATATGGGCATTTCTTTGATTAATTTTAATGATTTTCATTCAAACTGTATGATTCATTCTACATTCGATTTTTTAATTTTCCCGAGTTATCGAGTCATAAATAACGTATAATTTCTGTCCACCGTAAATCCTCTCCATTGTGTCTCCTTTATAAGCGCAACATTTTTCTAAATACAGCACGCTGCTTGGAATATGAATCTTAAGAAGTTTTATATGTTGTGCAACACTGCGATTGTCTTAAAGGAATACTAGTGGTGGCAGTAAGAGCGGTGCATCGATCGGAAATTTCAGTTGGAACGAGCCACTAATTTTTCACGACACTCACTGTGTTTACCTTTCTTTCGAGCTGGTCTGCTGAAAGTCCTCGCTCCCATAAATCAAACCTTATACGATCCTTTAATATACGACATACTGTAGGTATGCACGTGCGCGCGCGTGCTTTCTCGTAGATTGAGCAATCATCCGCGTGTCGAATAGCAGAAAGTCGCAATAGAGGCGTACAATAATGCAATGCATGAAAATCGTAATAAATATTAAATAGCCCCCACCCCCCTTACGTGCACTGTAATGTTACACAAGCCAGTGATGAGTGCGCGATCTTCGAGCGTTTACCAATTCAAATACGAGTTGGCAAACTTTTTCTATATCCATATCCGTCAAATTTTTATTACGATTACAGCCATTATTTATGGATACAATGATAAATTGGATAATATTTCTCGAGATGAGATAGTAAATCGTACGCTCGTGATAATATTGTAATCGTAAGGCAAATTGTAGCCGAATTTCAAATAGTCGTAAGTTAAATAAATTAAATTTACGTAATAATTACGTATCGAGCTGATATTTATGCTTTTGTGAGGTAATTAATAATATTTACAGTATTTTATGTAGTGATATTTACATAGCCATTATAGTTTATTATCATTTGTAATAGTAGGCTCATATTGCAATAATAGACATTATTATTTACAATAAACTTTTGTATATCTAAGACTTTTTTTTTTTTTTTTTTTTTTTTTTTAATACACTTTGAAAATATTCTTAAAATTTGACAACGGGATAAAGATTTTGATGCAAGTATTTATTAAAATTGTGTCTATTGAAACATTGTAATATAGAAATGTAAAGAATTTTTTCGTTGTAATTCATCATATTCAACGAGTGGGAATTCAGACTATTTTGTTAAACAAGTTATTTTAATTACGCAGATTTAATGAGGGAAGAATGAATGTAGATCGTATGGTTTTTTTACATTTGATGTTGTTGTATCATCAATTCCAAATATTATATCGCCTTTTTAACGAATAAACGTAATAGGCCATATAATTAAACGTACGATCGCATAAGAGATGTTACGTTAAAAACAAAATTAATTCGATCGCGTTTAAAACGTTAAAATTATAAAAATAAAATTGTCGAGCGAAACTGCTTAATTTCATTGTCGCGTAATTCATTGTCATAAATTTCAAATGCAATTTCATACTATCCGATGTATAAACATTTTGCACACACTTTTAGACACAATTCGTAAAATTGTATTTCACACATCTGTATCTCGGTATATTTAATTATTTTTAAAATACCCTTTATACGTTTGAAATTACATCGGCATCCCCTCTCATCCTCCCGCCCCACCCCTTGTCCACGGCCATGCTTCATAATTGGAATTTATAAATATTCAGCCGTATAATAATAATAATTATGATGATGATGATGATGATGATGAATCATAATAATAATAGTAATAGTAATAATAATAATAATAGTAATAGTAATAGTAATAGTAATAATAATAATAATAATAATAATAATAACAATAACAACAACAACAACAACAACAACAACAACAACAACAACAACAACAACAACAACAACAACAACAACAACAACAACAACAACAACAACAACAACAACAACAACAACAACAACAACAACAACAACAACAACAACAACAACAACAACAACAACAACAACAACAACAACAACAATAATAATAATAATAATAATAATAATAATAATAGTAATAAGGCAAACTTCAGTGAGCTCGAATTCATATTCATATTCGGCTGCGGAAATAAATATCGATAGGGTCGCATATCGAGAGGGTATTCAAGGCCAAAGCGCGGCATTTTTCTCAGCTCGCAAACAATCTCGGAGCTGGGCGACAGCTCGAAATAATTAGCCGGCAATAACATCGGAAATGCCATTGAAATATAAGTTAATGCGCCGGTTGAATCCAGTAGCTACAGCCAAGTAGGTACAAAGGGGAATAAGACGAGGGGAAGGAAGCGAGGAGCAACGTTGCGGAATTCAAACGCCTACGGAGATAAATTATTCCTCTTCACCGACACAGCCACGCATTAGCACAATACGCGCAACCGGATTGCGGTTGAAGGAGGCGCGTACGCGTGCGCAAGGATCGGCCGACGCTTAACCTTGCCACCCAAATCCCGTCCCCCGCCTCGCCCTCCCGCAATTGGCGTCTCATGCAACACACGGGCCGATCCATCTCGGTTATAAACTAGTTTAAAACTTAATTTCAATTTAAATCACGACGGCATTGGCCCGGTGATAATAATTCCACAGCCAAAGTGCATAAAACAACGAGACCTAGGCGTGCTGTGGCTATAAATAGGTGCGCTGGTAACGCGATAACGCCGCTGAAAGTGAACATACCCGCACGGATTATTTTGCGAACGAGGCCTGTCGTCGTATACCCATGCCAGCCTGTCTGCCTGTCTGCCTGCCTTCCTTCGCCGCATTTCAGATCTTCCTTCGGTGTTTTTTCTTTATCTTCCGTCTCTTTCTTTACGAGCGAGCGCTCCAAATTTCGCCTTCTATCCGACACGTATCGAGGAAGAAAGTCCGGCTGCCCGCGTTTTCCCTTGCTACCTGCGTGTTTTACAAGATTACGTTCGACGCGATGCCTCGCACATTCAAGCGAGCGCAGCCTTATACTGTCTGCACTAGTTTATAGAAGTCGCGCGTCGATGCCAAAGTGTGGTGGTACGCATGCCGATCGGTGCACCGAGGCTCGAGGCTGCCCTAATCACGACTAGCACCATCACCGCCGAACCCCCCCCCCCTCCTCCCCTTCCCTACCCAAAGT